TGAGATAGTTAAGTCAATATAATGAGATAACTAAGTCAATATAATGAGATAACTAAGTCATTATAATGAGATAGTTAAGTCAATATAATGAGATAACTAAGTCAATATAATGAGATAGTTAAGTCAATATAATGAGATAACAAAGTCAATATAATGAGATAACTAAGTCAATATAATGAGATAACTAAGTCATTATAATGAGATAGCTAAGTCATTATAATGAGATAGTTAAGTCAATATAATGAGATAACTAAGTCAATATAATGAGATAACTAAGTCAATATAATGAGATAGTTAAGTCATTATAATGAGGTAACTAAATCAATATAATGAGATAACTAAGTCAATATAATGAGATAGTTAAGTCATTATAATGAGGTAACTAAGTCAATATAATGAGATAACTAAGTCAATATAATGAGATAGTTAAGTCATTATAATGACTTACAGGATTTCTTTTTTTTTTTTCCTGTGGCGCAAACAGGCTTCCATAGCATTGACTTCTGTCCTGATCCAAAGATGATTTAAAGAAGAAAGGAAAATGTACTAGTCATTCCACAATTTGGATGTACAGTATAATTATGATATACATAGTTGAAGTGCTGTTTGCTCACTCTTCAGGCTTGATCCCCAGTCCCTCTCCTGTGTCCATGCTCAGGGTGCCGGCTCCGCCTCCGAACCCGTAGCCTTTTGGCCCGTATTTCTTGCCATAGCATGATTTGCAGTAGATTTCATCCACATGGACGGCCACTGTTGTGCTGTCTAAGTTCTTCTTACAGACCACTTCAATCAACAAAAAAGAGAACACATGAAATCAAAATCTATGTACCATTACTTATTGTCCTTTACTCTCACTCCTACAGCACAGTAACTCCCTTTCTCTAAAACATTTTTTCTCAGATGATTAGCCGTGACATTACCCCAAACTATGCGTGACATCTTAAGGAAGAAACCCACTATGTGCTTGGCTGCCTCAGATAAATACTTGTCTGTGCTTCAGGGAAAGTGTGTGTACCTTCCTCTGCCATAAAAGGAAGCTTTTGTCACATGTTTCCACTGGATCCATATAAGGAGTGAGACGTCTGAGCGAAATCCTGCTGAGGCTCACTTTCCTGCCCTGATGCCAAATACCCTGCATTCCAACCTGGCACAGGTCGTGATGACCGTTTACTCTCTAACTTAGGTCAGTATACAAATAAAGCAGATTACCTGAGAACTTAAAATACTTACTGCACAGAAAACAGGATTTATGCCAGCTCTTCCCCTCACACTGCACTTCCTCTGCAAAGTAGACGGTTTTCTGGCAGCAGCCACACTTGTTTCCTCCCCCGAAAGGCATTCTGTAAGCAAGCAGGAGAGCCTGTTGTGTACATTTTCCATTCACTGTATGTATAATATCTGTCTTTTGTAAAACAGATCAGTGTTGCTCTGCAGAAGGAGAACATCTGCACTACTTGAGGCTAGATGCAACAATACCTATAAAAGGAGAGGTAGCAGTTTGCTACACTTCTCTTTTTTCTATCTTTTGTTTGAGCATTCGAGCAGGAAGGACTGTCCATCCCTGATAATAAAATGCAAAATATACCTGCTGACGCTGCAAAGATAAAGATGAAATGACCTCAGAATACACTCTGTATTAAAACCACGCCAGTGTCAGCACTGAGTAACATGTCTTCATGTGGATGATCTCATGTTATGAGGGTCGTCATCCACACAGAATGTCATTAATCTACTATATCGCTCTGGATAAACAGGAAAAACTCCCTGCATTTTATTTTGTAATCACACGTTAACAGTCTTGGGCTCAGACAACCCAACAAGCTACCATGATTTAAGTTTAGTTACTCAAACAATACTTTAGAACATAATAAATAAAAGCACAGTTCAAGGATAGCTTTGGGCTAGAAGACTTTAAAAACACAGTAAACAAGAATATTTGTTCCGGTACTTTTTTTTTAAGGTTATCTAATTTCTTTCCTGCTAATGAACAGGAAACACTTTTGAAGCATAAAGTCATCCTATCTAGACAATAAGAGGAAGTGTCCATCTCTAAAAATAGGCCACTGAAAGCCAAAGCCCAAAATATTAAGAAAAATACCAAGTTGTCGTTTTTACTGCATTTTATCCTGCATATTTTACGTTGTTTTTTTTACAAATGTAAACAATAAGACTGACTTGTAGGCTCAATGTAATATATTTGTTTAGGATTGTTGTTAACACACTAAAACCATACAATGTCAGTCATTTTATGTTTCCATCTCTTAGAATAAATACGGCCTGTTGTTTGAAGCTCAAACCATCAGGTCAATGTTTTTAAGATAAAAGCACATACACAAGAGGAAACAATAACTTGTAATTCTACTATCACATCTTAACATGTCGACATCTTAAATGAACCTACCTGAAAGTCAAAGAAGGATCCTCTCCTGTTTTTGAGAGATGTCTGAGTTTAGGAGAGGCAGAGGTCTGATGAGGAGAGACAGAGGGAGGCTGAGAGGACACCAGGCTGAGGGAGGAGTCACAAGAGGGAGACAAGGGAGAGGGATGTAGCGAGGCAAATCGGGAAGAAGATTTTAGTACTAGTTTATTATGGGAGAGGTTTGGACACAGAAAGAGATCCTTCATCTCCATGTTTGAGAAACTGTTCTTGGTGAAAAGAAACAAAGCCTCCTGCCAGAAAACAGGCATAAATGAAATGTAAAAGCAACAGATGGATGGTGTTGTAAAAAGGAGCCCAAACTGTTTCAAAGTAATTCTGCACATTAGCAGCCCCAAATGGAAAGTAGAGCTAACTGTTTTTCATGGTTTTAAAAGTCCCCTATTATACTGTTTTTGATCAATACATTTTAGGTCTCAGATATATACAAAACCTCCATAAATATTGGCTTGACCAATCCGAAAGTCTCTCTGTTGAACACCTCAAATAAATGTTTAAACATTTATTTTGTTTCATCCTCGCTCCGTTCGTCATACACATTATTTCCTCAGAATTACATTGTGATGGATTTGGTGTATGTGCTGTCTCTTTGTTTTAGGTGTTCATCTCACTGAATTTTATATTTACCATAGAAATTATGATTTTGAGGTTGTCATCATATTTAAACGGTGAATACAGAACCAACAATACAGTACAGCCTTTCACACACAGTTGCTAAACCGTAAGGTGCATCAATTAATTGTCCAAACTTCGATAATAGGGCATACACTTTAATTTAACATTATATATTTGTATAGATATTTCCCTGTGAGTTGGTGGAGACCAAATCAGAGTTGAAAGGAGAGTAAATACTGGACTTGAATTCATCATACACGACCACAAATACAAACTAATGTTATCCCATGTCTTCTTTATTTGTAAATAAGCAACTGTTGCAATCAACTTCCATCAAATCAAATAAATCCACATACAGTAAAGGTGAACAAAGGTCATAGTTGTTGTGTTGCTGCTGCCCCCTGGTGGCCAACATGCTTTATTTGCAGCAAAAGAATGCTCTGCCTTCAGTACTGCAGCCATCTTTTCTTCTGGCTTGTTTCAGGGATTCTGTTCCACTTTTTTCATCCGTCTGGTATTTAGCATGTGCAACACATGATCAGTTGGATTGAGGTCAGATGTCTGATCCGACAAGTCAAC